CCTGTAGACTATGTGTTAATCCAAGCTAGACAAGGGCAATAAAACATCCACAGATGCAGAAGATTTCTCTCAAAACGGGGGTGAGGTTCTAAGCCTCACCTCTGTTGATTCCCAATTTCTCACCTGATGGCCCCCCTGTGACTGTGCCTGTCTTAGGTTGTTCCTCCCTTGAGGAATCTTACCCGTCTCTGGCTAACCAGTCATCTTCCATGGCCATACAGGGAAATGTAAAGTTGGTAAGTGAGAGAGAGGCAATATTCTTTGAAAAGGTTAGCTTTTTACTTCTTTGCAGATTTATGCCCTGTGGCTTCTATGCCCAGCCCAGCATTTGTCTTGAGGTATCTTTACCACTTTGAGACCATTCTTTTTAAAACTTTTCCATTAACCCTACAAGGCTTTGCATGATCCAGCCCCTGCTTGGGTTCTGTTATTCGATCATTCTCCAGCTGTAGCCACACTGGCCTCCTCAGGTTCCCAAAGACATCACACCATTTATCAGACTACCTGGCTTTCTCATATTTCAGGTATTAGTTTAAGTGTCACATCCCTGGCCACTCTCCTCCCCATCCTGAGTTATTCTCTCTTTTGTGCATGTGTGTGTATCATAAAATTTACATAAAATGCATCATTTCACCCACTCTTAAGTGTATAGTTTGCTGTATTAAGTTCAGTCACATTGTTGTGCGGCCCTGAGTTATTCTCTTATCACAGCACCTTGCCTGTCCTTCACACAGCACCATCTGTAGTAATGTTGGTGTTTTTTCTCTCCTGCTAGAATATAAGCTCCATGAGAACAGGGAGAAGTTAGTCTTTTTCTTTGCTACACCTGGCCCAGAGCCAGGCAGCACTAACAGGCGCTCAGCAAGTATTTGTGGAATGAATGACTGGACACTGCTGTGTGTTGAGTGCTGATTGTGTGCTTGGTGCTGCAAAGTTCTCTGTAAACATTTAATTCAGTCTTGCCGGCAGCCCTGAGGTGTAATCATTGTATCACCTTTTACAGATGAGGATACAGCTCAGAGAGGTTAAGTCTCCTGGCCAAGCATGGTCACGGAAGCAGGGGCGAGCAAGCCACAGATCCAGCTGGTGAATCCAATTCCCTCTGACCCCAAAGAATGTTCATTTTTAGGTGTGGAAAGAGGGTTCTCCAAAGAGGTCGGTTGGACAGGTGGAGTCCCACCCTGGGAAAATAAAAATTGGGTGAGGCTCAGAACTACCACCTCATCAGGTCAGAACTGGGCCAGTCACATCT